TGATTGAGGGCGCCATTGTTGCTATGGTTGTTTGTTTTATTTTATTTTTTCCTGGAGAGGAGAGGGGGGTCGCGTGTGACGGTGGGATGTTGAGGTGTGTTGTTCACGCGGGTTTGGAGGTTTTGTTGGAGGTTCAGGCGGCGTTGATTGAGTAAATGGTGAAGAAGGTGGAAATGCTCTGGTGGTCGGCGGGTGGAAATTTCCGACTGGAGGTTGACGTGAGGAGAGAAAGGAAGGTGATTGACTGGATGGGATGGGATGGCTTCTCTTGGGAGGGGATTAGTCAAAGGCAAATTCGGAGGAAAACTGTGTAGCGTACTGTCTAGTTTGCGGTGCTTGATAAGCGTGGAATGGTGAGGGGTTGGCGGGGTGGGCACCGTAATCGGGAGGCCTAATTACACGGTATTGCGTAGGTTGCCAGTGAAGTGGACGATTCCGCGGGGACTGGTCTTGCAGTGGGTATTGCAGACGTAAAGGTGCAGGATAGGCAGGCAGGATGCGTGGGAGGAACGCTGGCGGGGGAGAAAGGGAAAGGCGGCTGATAAAAGAACTTGTTGGAAGCAAGGTACTACGGAGAATGGCCGGAGAACGGCCAGACGGGGGGGAAGCAAATGTTCTGTCCACTCCGATCAACCCAAGCCCATTAATCAGATCTCTTGCTTACGGATGCGACAAAGTCATTGGGTGGTCGTACTTTTTTCTGCTTCTGCTGTGCCTGACCTTGGGGGAGCAAAATAGGGGTCCGAAAGCGGAACGTCACCCTTCTACCATTCCAGTCAATCAGTACCCTCCCCGCCCCCATTTACGCAAGACGCAGGCGCTCACAATAAAAATCCACGGGCAAGGCGATGTCATGGACGGGGCCCATTACGCAGCGTGCTGTAGGGGAGAGACCAAGGGTGGTGCACCAGGGGTTTGCAGAAGGGAGAAGATGACCATCAATGACCTTGCATTACTGCACCCGGATGAAGGGCGACGGCCCAACCAAAGGCCTCACGATTTCTGATTTCCAATTGCCCACCTAAATCTTTTCCCTCAAGGTGAAGGTGTTTTTCTTCACTCCCCTGCCATCCGCCCTGAATCGTCAGGTGGGCGGTGCAGAAAGCGCTAGCAGAGCACTGTGGACAGCAAATGTTTGGGCGGTGCTGACCGAATTTAATGTCAGTGACAAACGGCTTTGGTCCGGTTTTCATTGGTGGAATGCCTTGCTGGCTGCTGCCATCTGGACCCTTGGGTTTTGGCAGCGTGGGTGGCCACCACTACCACCACCCTTGTCTTGCCGCGCGCACACTGGAGAGGACGACTCACCCGGCCTCTGCCGACCCCAAGATCCGACCGGCGATTTGGGAAGGTCCGGCTGCGATTGGGCCTCAATCATCCTTCGCGGGGTCTGCTGCGACCTGCGTCTTCGGAGTGCATTCGGCGCTGAGTATGGAGAGAAGAAACCTTGGCGATGCTGCAGACCCTGCCGGCGTCGGATGCTAAGGCCTGGAGTTTCTGTGTGTCATTTCGCCGTTGACCATGTCATTACCACCGTTGATAACGGGCTGGGATTGTGGACGACTTGTGGGAGAAAAGGCATGTGCTTTTGTTGCGAATTGCCTGGCTTCCTATTCGTCCCATGGGAAACTAGACAGAGCAAGGTACGGAAAGATGAATGCTTTTGGATTTTGCGATACATGCAAATTACTCTGGGCTCTATATCGCGCCCAGGAGGAATGACCGACAACGCCCGTGACAACTCCATCCACATGCTTACACCATCCAGCAGCGACGGCGCCCTCTACAGCTTGAAGCTGCTGCTCGTCGCCTGCGCCTGTGCCTTGGCCTTGTTCCCGTCCACGTCCACGACCTCGCCCTTGCGATTGATGACCTTGACGCCGCCCTTCTTCAGGTCCGCGAGCGTGTCCTTCTGCATCTGCGCCTTCTTGCCGAGTGGCTTCTTGGCCGCGTCCAGGCCGCCCGCCTTGTGGATCCTCTCCTTCTCCCGCCTGCGCCGCCTGAGCTTGTCCTCGCGCGACATCTCCTGCCGCGCCACCGGCAGCCCGTCCTTGCCCACCACCTCGCCCCGCTCCGCCGTCTCCTTGCCGGCCTTGTACACCTCCTGCGGCGCGAGCGCGCTCTGCCCGCCGCTGACGCCTTGCGCCGTCGTCGGCTGCGCGTCCTCCATGCTGATCGTCGCCGCGTCCGACACCACCGTGAGCGTCGGCGCCGCCGGCTTCGGCTTGTAGTGCCAGCTGCTCAGCGCGTCGAGCCGCGCGCTGAGCTCCTTCCACATGCCCTCGATCTCCTTCTCCTCGCGCTGCAGCTTCTCGTCCGACTTGGACACGTACGCCTCCGGGTCCGCGTTCTTGAGGTGCTCCTCCTCGTACACCTCCGCGAGGCCCTTGCCCTTGGAGTCGTCGAGCTCGATGAGCCCGCGGCGCGTGTTCTCGGGCAGGTCCGCGCCGGGGCGGCGGCGGATCACCTCGTCAAAATCCTGCGCGAGGATGCGGCGCTTGATGAGGTCCTCGATGCCCTCGCTGACCTCGGCCGTGATGACGGGCACGGGCTTGCCGACGTGCTCGAAGGCGAGGTCCTGCTCCAGCAGGGAGTTGGTCGGGCGCTCCACGGCCGAGGCCTCTCCGGACAGCGTCCACGAGCGCTTGGCGACGGACTCGGCCTCGAGCTTGCGAATCTCCTCGGCAAGCTTGGCCTGGCGGCGCTCGTGGGCTGACCTGCGGGACCGCGGGTCTCCGGCAGAGACGTCGGAGAGAGCGTCCTCGGAGTCGTCGCCGTGGTCCGAATCGTCGTCAAAGAGGTCTCGCTTGACGTCCTCCATGGCGCGCTCCATGTCCTCCTCGCTGACCTTCTTGGGGGCGAAGCGGACCGACTTCTTCTTCTTCGGTTTGTCCTTGTTCCACTTCTTCGCCGGTGGCGCGAAGAAGTCCTTGTAGTAGATGCCGTTGGCGTTGAACTCTTCTCCCTCCTCGGCCATGTCCTCGTCCATGTCTTCGTCGTCGCTGGCGCCTTCGGGAGCGTTGAGGTCCATGTCGCCGAACGTAGGGCCGTCCTCCTCGTCAGACTCCTCGACATCTTCAGCGTCTTCAGCATCCTCGTCCATATCGTCGGCATGTTTTGTAGATTTTGACTTGCTGGAAGAAGCGGCCATCGGGTCGGCATCCCAGTCGATTTCTTCATCGTCGCTGGCGGCGTCCGTGTTGGGGTCTCCCTTTGCGTCTTGCTCCTCGAACCATTGTGTCTGCTTGTTGAAGTCGTCGATGGAGAAGAAGCCGTCGTTGAGTCCGTTCGGGTCCTCGACGTACTCTTCTTCATCGTCCTCCTCTTCGTCGTCGTCGTCCTCTCCAGCTTCCTCCTCGTCCATGTCTTCCAGGTCTCCGGTCAGGCCCTCGACGTCGGACCCTTCCTCCAAGTCTTCGTCTTCGTCTTCGAGGCCCTCGAGGTCGGATCCCGAAAGCTCCTCGTCATCATCAGAATCCTCCTCCTCGCCGTCGAGCTCCGATCCCTCCTCGTCAGACTCCGCAAGGCTGTCCTGTCCGACGCCGTTCGCCACAACCTCGTTCCGGTCCTCAAGCTCCTGCAGCGTCTCCTGCGAGTGCTTCAGAGCGCTCTTGATGATCCTGCGCGCCTGCTGCCAGACCTGGCCCGTCTCGAACCCGTCGACGTGCACCTTGCGGATCTTGAGCACGTCCGCCCGGTCGGCGTCGGCCCTCTTGCGCTTCTTCGTGGCCTCCTTCAGCAGCCGCAGCTGCTCGTCGCTAATCTGCCCGGCGAACGCGTCCAGCGTTTCCTTGACGACCTGCAGCGAGGCCGACGGGATCGCGGGCGGCGGCTGCAGGAAGGCGTGGCGGTTCGCGGGGCCCATGTTGTCGAGCAGGGCGCGCACGTCGGCGGCGCTGGCGCCGGTCATTGGGGGCATGTGGGCGACCATGCCGGGCGCAAAGGAGAGGGTGTGAGAGCTGTGCGATGTCGATGTGAGGGAGGAAGACGTGCTGCCCGCCGCCATGATGTGGTGATTGTTTTTCCCGTTCGGAGGTTTCTCGCTTGGTCCGATAGCAACCTGGAAGATTTACAGCAACTTTTTTTTTTTGGCTTGCACCTTGCAGTCCTGGAAAATTTGGGACCCCGCTAAATGCCTGGGATCAGCGGTCGACATGTGATTGGCCAATGAGATCAGTGAGGTCGGTCCAGCGTCATTAGGTAAGCGGCCGTTGCGTCTTGTCTCAATGTGCTGGTTCATCCAATTCTTTCATCACGAAGTCATTTCTGATGCATTTTTCATCAATTGCGGCTCATTTTCCTGCCACAAAAACTTTGGTATATGTGGCCTAGTGTTTGGGGGGCTTCTAGTGAGTGCTGCACTGTGAAGCTGGCTACCAGACGGTGTTGGAATATCACAGACACTCTCATACTGCGTTTGTATCCGAATGCGACATTCATCATTGGATGTAAATCATTTGATCTCTCCAGGGCACATTCAAGAAGGACCTGTTCGATGAGGATATTAGAAATCAGCTGAGAAAGACAGCTCAGTCGAGTTTCCAACCGGTCCGGCCGCGGTGGCGGGGCCGGCCGGGTGGCCCACACACTTGGGCCTTAGTGTCCGACTTAGTCATCTGCATTTGGTGATTCAACTTACAATATCTCCCTCATCCCAAACCAATCTTCTTTCACCGGCTACCTACACTTTCAGAAGTTTCTACTTTATTAACTCGCGATTGACGAAGCGTCGCCATATTGAACCTTTTATCGCGTATCAAAAAGAAGAATTCAAGTCAAATCGGCGTGTAAGTTACATTCTCTTAAGTCTCGGATGTGGGGCTGATGTCGTGTTGATGAGTCGAAGTCCATCTTCTCGGTACTGAAAGCCGCAACCCTTGGTGCTTGCTCAGGGGAGGGGGCCATGGAAACGGTGCTAACACTGAACACAGATACACGAGAACTCTAGCAGCCCTGATATCTGACTCTGTTCAGCTACACCTCTTCACAAAGACGCACAAATGTCTGACCCCGCCGCAGAAGTCGCAGCGTCTCGGGACGACGGCAAGGTGCACCTCTTACTTTGCGCCTCAGGCTCGGTAGCAACCATCAAGATTCCAAATATCATTGAAGCGCTCGGCAAACATGAAAATCTCTCCATCAGACTCATCCTCACTGCTTCCGCGGCACAGTTCTTGACAGGCAATACGGAAGAGCAGCCGTCACTAGCCACGATCCGCAAGATGAAGAACGTAGACGGGATTCACCTGGACGAGGAAGAGTGGGTCTCGCCATGGAGGCGTGGCGCTAGCATATTGCACATCGAGTTACGACGCTGGGCTGACATGATGCTCATCGCACCGTTGAGCGCGAATACCCTCGCCAAGATAGTAAACGGCTTTTCGGACAAGTGGGTTTTCGTTCTAGTTTTTGGCCTATCCCTCGCGAAGCTGACTTTCTTTTAGCCTTTTGCTCAGTGTTGTTCGAGCGTGGGACCCAGAAGGTCTGATAGACGGACGGAAGAAGAGGATCCTCGTGGCTAGCGCGATGAACTCTGCGTAGGTTCACCCCTGATGCACTCGGAGCCAAGCTGACTTATATCAAAGTATGCATAACCACCCTATCACAGGGAAGCAACTGAGTGCCCTTCGGGAGTGGAACTGGTTTGAGGTGCTGCAGCCCATGGAGAAGACATTAGCTTGTGGAGATACTGGTTCGGGAGCGATGATGGACTGGAGAGAGATTGTTCAGATCACGGAAGCACGTCTGGGGCTTTCGAAAGAGTAGCAAATGAAATGGTTTGTTGGTTCACATATCAAATTCGTCTAAGTATACAGATGAGGGTTATTGCAAAGCACGTTGCCCGATATGCTCATCGTCGTTCCAATTACCCTACATTCGGTGTCGGAATCCGTTCGCAGATGTACTCGCTCACAAGTTTGCTTGGCGAAACCGCCTTCTCGCAGGCCCAGTATTCTTCATAATTCGAAAAGTTTGGTTCATACAACTCTAGAAGCTTCTTCTCATATGCACCATTGGGGTCCCAATGGTCCTTTCCTTTGCTGTCCAACAGGTCAATGAACGATGTAGCAATGTTCCAAATCGCTATCTGATCGTGGGGGAGGAGAGAGAGAGAATCGTCAAATTTCGACGGGGACGTGAAATTGTAACCGTCGCTGTGGAAACTGCGGGGTCTCCAGTTGCCGAGAGACTGAAGCTGCCACTCGTTGAGAGGCTCGGCACAAGCATCTTTGTTGCCTATGAAAAGATGAATGTGGCAATGTAGCCTCTCCCTAATTATTTTGTCGATAGTCCTGAGACACGCGCCTCGAGACCCTGGCATCTTCATCATCTTTTGTAAGACGTGAGGATCGTCTCCCAGTGTACGATCAAGCTCCCACGATTCGTCGCATTCGAACGCAACAAACTGCGTAAATTTTGATCTGGTTCCTTTCGAGGTGTATGTTATAACCTCTAGCGCTTCGTCGACATTGAGGTGTTCATCTTGTGGTACTCGAAAGCAGGTAATGACCTGATTGAAAACGTCGAAGACGATATCCTCTCCGTTGATATGCATACGGCTGAGCATGGCATGTCTTCCGAGCTCTTCTCTGGAAGCATGCTTTAGGACGTGTCTGCAGATGACTTGTCTCGACTCGGTGCTCGCAGTCCATAATCCGAAGTCGAAGGATTGTGAAGTGTCGAGAGACAGGTATCCAGTTCGATGGTCTTCCGATGGACGGGCCGCATCGTTCTTACTGCTCGGCTCCGGGTTCTCGTGCTTTTTGAGGGAGACGAAGCGAACACAACAGGCGCAGGGCGTGGAGCTCATGGGTGCGATTGCCATTTCCCAAATTGTGAGCCTAATTTCGGCTGGCAAGTCTGAAAAAGAGTGAAAAGTGGTAATCATTCTGTAATAATTGATGGATGTTGTAGTGTGCAGTTGTGCATGAGTAACTACTAAGACGTGGAAAGGTTGATGGAAAGGCTTAGAATGCAGCACAGCACAATCTCGAGACGACCCGACTTATTATACTTTCCTTAGCCATAGATATCTCCGGCAACAGCTACCGTCTTGCTGATTCGTTACTTGTTGGTCGGATGGGTTTGCGTTGGAAACCCGTGCGGTCAATGACTTCCACTTATTAAACTTTGCTCCGAATATTGTAGACATCCATTCACGCTGCCCGAAGAGGATGAATTTTCAGCTTTGCTTCCCATCATTGATGAACCGTTCTCGTAAGAATTCCAGTGGGCGCAGCCTTCTCAGCTGCAAGACCCGAGGCTGTTCTACTGATGAGCTCGAACGGCTTTTACATTAGCATTTTGAGTGATACTCACTATTGGGATGACTTCAGATGTGTCCACTGCCATGTTCCTCTTGTTTTCCTCCCATGTTTTTCTCTTATGGCTCAACAGTTGTAGTAAGGCTAGGCCCATCTGTTCTATGCCCAGCGTCTCCGATACTGTGAGCTGCTGCGGATGAGAATTGTCAGGATAAGTAGCCCCATGCTCAACTCCCCATTCTCCACCTCTTATTTCCCATGTTGAATCAATATCTTCGAAGGGAACATATTGGCCTCGCAAGTTTGCTTCACCAGTCCCTTTTGGGGGAAAAGGCCTGGTGATGAACGACTGACGGATAACGTCCTCGACACTGAGAGAGATCTCCCGATACTTAGGAGAGAGTTGGCTTGCGTGTGACGGACTTAAATCATCGAACGACTCAAGTAATGAGCTACCAGAGCTGCTAGATGCGGGAGAGTGAATTGGCGCTGTGATATGACTTTCTGGATGCCCAGGGATAAGGTGGCGAGGTTTGAGACGAGACGAGCCAGCAATTTGGGAAGCCTCCAAGGTTGGTGGGCTGGGCAATTTAGCGAGGTTTGGTACGCTGACTTTGGACTTTGTGTGAATCTTAGCATGTGGATCTGCTCCATGCTGCAACATTACTGTAAGTATCTCTGCGAATTGCCGAGCTCCCTCAACAGTCACGATTTCAAGATCGTTGACGGTCTTAAGCAGGCCTACCCACGGCGTTTCTCCGGACGTCTCTTTGTTGACTTGATTGGGATTTGCGCCAAGATCGAGTAGTCTGTGTATCACTACTGGCCTTATCGTGCCAGGTATTGCGATGGAAAATGGCGGAGGCCTGCATGCTGAGCTGAGAAGCGGGACACCCCGTACCGACTTCACCAAGCTCTTGCTCCCCTTCAAGGTGTCTAGAGCGAATTCTGCGAGCCCATTTTCGACTGCAATTGATATGAAGCCTGCACTTCTCTCGAAATACCTGCTTTGAGCCATTCTGTCTTGATATGTCCTTGAGGGAGAACGCAACGTCCACGGGAAGTAGTTCGTCCAATGGCCAGCGTCAAAAAGGTGCATTGTTCGGGATGTTGGCTGACAGGATGGTCTTTCTCGAAGAATACCGACAAGCGACGTCATGCTTCGATCAAGGTCAGACAGCAAAGCATGAGTCTCAAGCCTTGTGTTGTCATTTGCGAATTGGGCAAGCCTCATGGCGAGTTCCACAAAGTACCAGATCCTAGAAGTTAGACCAAAATCCCACGCCTTTGCTTCTCTCTTCAGCTTAATAAGGAGCCCTTTCATCAACAAAACATCCAGATCGAAAGAGGTCTCAGCCAAATCACTTTCTAGTTCGGAAGAAGTTGATGGTAGCTTCAGAAATTCCGCCACTGCTCTGTGGATGAATGAGACCTCTGGGTCCTTTGATTCCCCACGTGGGGTGACTTCCGAGGAAGACGGGGGTTTTAGCTCCAGCAATCCGGCGCACCAAGTTCGGAGTCTATTCTCGACTTTCTTAACGGTGTCATCGAAGGCCATGGAGCTTAGCGGACCAATACTGGTGTTCAAAACCGTACCAAGTTGCATTTGCGCACCATCCATGCAGAGGGCTGTAAGCCTGAACGAGTAGTTGAAATCCATCTGCAGCGAATCTCGTTTGCGGAACCGGTATGGAGACTGCTTGTACCTCATGCTTGTCGATCGCTGCATGAGCCACAGACATTCGAAGCCGCGTCTTTCGTGTTCCTTCGACATGCGCCCCATCATGTGAAGGAAGAGTCTTTCCAGGCCCCGTGGAAATTGGAGGAGAATAGACTGGAGGTCCACAATAGACTCGCAAACATCCAATTCTTTAACAAGAGCCTTAACAACCAGTCGCAACCACAGGAAGATGCCCTCTGATCTCTCAACAGCAGACAATATCAAGTAATCGATTGTCGTTTTGCCCCCGGAAAAGTTTACCAGATAGGATGTCCTTTGGTGCTCGTACAACTTATCGGTAACAAAAAGTGTTCGATCTCGATTCGTCATGTCGTGTAAATAGAGCTTTTCGCAATCTGCAAAGGCTTTCTCGAACACGGTTTCTGGCCGACTTGATGCAATGATCTTCATGTGCTTAGAACAGGCCGCCTTTTTGAGATTCTGGGCAAGTTCGTGTTGCTCATCATGAGGAGCGCTATACTCGTCCAGACCGTCTATCAGGAGAGCTACTCGAGTCGGCGATGTCTCGAGAGAGACAAGATGTTTGAACGCTCTTTTTAACTCGTTTGAGGTTGGGAAGGGCCCTGAACAACCGTGTTCCTGTTTGAATTGATCCGGAAACAGCAGTGAGGCAAAAGAACGTTCCCGTTTGATGATCTCGTGCAGAATACCCCGGTAAAGCCCATCGAGAGACTTTTGCAAAACATCAGAGCTCTGGTCCCAGAACAAGTATTTTGCTAACACCAGAGGTTGTTCATGGGCCCAGTCTCGAAGCAGCTTCTCGGTCCGTGGATCATCAGCCATATACTTGATCAGAGTGCTTTTGCCGCTACCAGCTCTTCCGCTCATCCAATACATTCCCGTGCCGTTCTCTATCCATTCAAGGAAGGTAGAGCTAGACTGCAGCTGGAGATCTTTTGAGAATATCCACTCAAAGGTTTTCTCATGTGCTGGAAGGATATCTTCATATCTGTCGTTGATTCTTGGAAACCAGAGTCTGCTGAGTATGCGATCGGTTACGACAGCTGGATCTTCCGGAATCCAACTCGCTCCCAACCCACCCCTACCAGCTATGGCATTAAGCAGCTCGTCATGGCGCTGACTAGCCAAGTGCGAGACCTGCTCAAAGTGACTCATCACCCCCTCATTGAGATTTCTGACGCGTCTTTCCATGTCAGACCGGATGGTATCATTGTCCGATGAAAGAATTGCGATGATTTGTTGCGTAGCGTCGTCGAGCGTCGGAAAGCTATGGTCTCTTCCCGTAGCGGCGGCATCGACACTAGCCTTGATGGACATCATCAACTCAAACTGAATCTCAGAGCGCATGTCTTTGAGTCGCTCCGTCTTTTCTTTCATCTCCCGCTCCCTCCAAACACTCAGAACGGCGTCACGAAGAGTCTTCCTGAGTGGCTGGCCTTTCTGCCGTCTCACCAAACCTCGATGAATATCCTGAGCGATAGCATCGGCTTCTTCAGCGAGTTGGCGTAATGCCACATCATCTTCAGTGGGTATAGCATCATGAATGGATCCATCGGAATGTTCGGGCGTTGTCTTGGATGACTTGATGAGCTCTTCACATCGAGACTTAAGATGTTGGGCCACTGTAGCCTGGTTTCTGGTTGCGATTGACTCTCCATAGCTTCGGATTTCAGAGGCAGTCGAGATTACCTTCACCGATAGATCGATGACAGTCAGGATGTTGACGGCAAGCCCAAAGGCCGAAATAGGGTCCATGACGAGAGTTTGACAAGGAGGCTAGAAACCGGCGCCTGAAGGAGGGAATGCCAGACGTCTTTATTCATTCCTGGCACAGTTGGTCGCAAGGCTGCCTTATGTGCTCCCAGAGGCGCATAAGCAAAGTATTTTGGTGTGGCGGTGTATGCATGTAACATGACCTGTCAGCACAACCTGCTCATATGCCATTGGCCTGAAAGTATGTCGGCAACAGTCACTTCCCATAGGCCCATGTAATCTCTTCATTTGCAGGGAGGACACTCACAATATTTGCGAAGCGGCTTGGTAGGGGTGAAGGCGACTGCGTGATTTGAAGAGAGGTTCGATTAATCAAGGAAATTGGCTTGCCTTTCTACCTAGGGTTGTTTCATCCCATAGAGCATATCCTCAACTACAAACACTGATAATACCAAGGCGGCGAGACCGCAGAACAGCTCGACCCAGCCGCGCACTTCGTCGCGCCGGTATATCCCGACCCGCCACACTGTCCATACTTTGTCTGCGTCGGCTCAGGCACCGGAGCCTGCGTCGTCGACCGCGATGTCGCGGAGCTTGTTGATGTTGTCAAACGAACCGTGGATGTGGACGTCGGCGGCGGGACCCATTGCGTCACGGTCTCGATGACAGTGTCGATGTCCGTGACTGTCACGACGGTTGTCGTCCAATTTGTGATTGTAACCGTGACGAGGGAGGTCGGAGACAAGGCCAGCTTGGGGGTAGGAATGATAGTTGTAGTCTGAGTTGAGTACCTGATGGCCGTTGGGGTTGGAAGGGGAGTGGAAGGTCGATCTTGCGCCGTCGCGGAAGCGCAGGCAACTAGGAGTGTTACCAAGATGGATATGGGATGCATGGCGAGACGCTATCTCTGAACAAGGGACCAGAGAACTCGGCAGCCTTAGAACCGAGAGCTTTCGACTTGAGATCTCGCCAACGGCGGAGAAACATTCAAAAGGCCTAAGATTTAAATACTCTGATGCTTGAGAGCATGTCGTCCTCTCATACGCCCTCTTCGGCTCGAATCAAATGTTGTAATCGTGGGTGACTTCATTTGGAAGAAGACAAAACACCGTCTTGGGGAGGCTGCGCAGCCAAGCCCGGCTGGACTGAAAAAGATTGGTTGCCTTCACTCTTTGGGCACGAGGTCTGCAACGCATTCTCAATTCCAGATTGAGTGGAAGCTTGCCAGGGCGAGCATAGCCCGAATCCGACGTCGTCGACTGATGACAGCCGGTCTTGGCTACCAACGCGCACCGATACGGAAGCCAGGTCTTAGGAGAAGGCCGCCTCAAACTCCCGAAAAGAGACAGGAGAAGCTTGGTATCACTTAATGGACCACAGTTTCAACTTCCGGGTTTCTTGAAGAAGGAACGTGGGGTTCTGAAAGTATGGTTATCATATGATGAGATTTAGCCTAATTGCTGCTTTGCGTCGCTGGATGGCTGATGGGTAATCTAACTCAATTTCCCTTTCATTTCAACAACGTGGCAGAAATTGCAGCGAATTGCAACGCTCACATGATGAAATTCACCCATGCCCGTTTCAAGGGAATGGTATGGGAAGAATCGGCCATGCTATGGACTACATGGCATGTCGTCATTGGCTTGCAATGGAGCGGCTCGCGATGAGATCCTCAGCTACCTCTCATCGACGGCTCCGCATCGACTCTTAGTGAAAAACATGGAGGAAGGAGCCCAGAGATGAGGGAGACCGGAGATGAAGACCAGAAATGGAAACCAGAAATGGAGACCAGAGAGGGAGGAAATCAGGAATGCAGTATAAATGATGTGCAAGCTGTGTCCATCCGCCATGCCTAGCATGCGACTACGGGAATGGGGCAGTATCGAAGGACGAGGTGCCGACCAGTGTCAGCCATGAAAACGTAAGCCATGTCTGTCATTCGAGGCTTGGTGGGTCGAGAGCAAGATGGAGTTGACGATTTACAATATGGATAGCAGCACCCACCGCGGCTCGATGGCGACTCTGCGGTGATTGGTGGCCTTCCTCGCAACTCTCGCGCGCCTTCGCATGCCCCATCAAGAGGTCCCTGGTCAATATGCTCTTTTGGTCAGGCCAACTAGGCGCACTAGCAAGAGGGGCTGGCAGGCTAAGCCCTCGTGCGGCTCAAGCAGCCCACAGACCCTCATCCTAATCTTGACCTCACCCAACCAGAGTGAGCGCTTCAACCGTGTTTGGCACTTCAACAAAAGCATCGCATAGATACGTGAAAACGAGGCACCTGTGTCGATGCCAACCTGGCAGTGGGACAAGGCGTTGTCTGAGATGGCCCTCTCCACCTGATGACATGTCGGTTGGAGAAGCTGAGTCTGCCTGGCTAAGCTGTGCGGCTGTTGGCAAGGTCAACTCCTTGATCCTGGCACGGTAGTGAGGCTGTCATCTGTCTCAAAGACATCCTGGAAGCGAAGGTGATAGTGATGAGCCATGAGCGGGCTAAAACGAATCCTTCTGGTGACCGAGCAGCAACAGTGCGGGGTTCTGCCGTCGCAACGGGGCCCGGCCTGTCCTCGGCAGAACGTTGCATCGCTAGGTGTATGCACCCTTAGATTGCTCGCTTCATCGTACGATCAAGTATATACCGAGAAAGCATGCCGTCTGGGTTACCGGCTCGATGCCCCCCAGATGCGCCAGATTATTCCAAGCACATATAGTACCACCAGCGAAGCCGCCTCGTGTGATAGCAAGGATTCATAGTGTCGAATGTGCATTGAGGGCAGCCCCATGGTCGAGTCACATTCATGACGGGCGTAGTGTGCTATCGTATTTCATCGAATCCGGCTGAAAGGTATGCTGTCTCGGATATCGTGGATCGTCATTAGGAAGGAAGTTGAACAGCACACCACCAGTGGGGAGAAGGAGGGGGCGAGGTCTTGAAGGGGTGGCGGGTTACTGATTACTATCCATCGGCACTTCGAAAGCCGACAAATCTGGCGCGGACGGCGCCGATCACGGCAGCCCTGGGTTCCAGGAATCCGGGACCAACAGTGTTGACGGGAAGGGTCCAGGGTTCATCCGGATTGTTGAAGAAATCGACATCCTTGATATATAACCTCCTTTGGAACAATGAGTGGCCGCCGTTACTTCTCCCCGCATGTTCGCCTTGAAGTCAAAGACCACGATCGACATGATCGGCACCCTTGGCTGCGAGTGACCAACGGCGCCTTACCTAACCCACCCACCAGGTCCATCCCTGAATAGAAACATAAGCTGAAAGAAAAGCCAGGAAGCCACGAGGACGAGATCCATATCAGCATGTTCGCGGATGGCGACGACGAGAATGACGGACCTGCAGAAGCTGCAGCCGGGAGTCGTCATTGGATCTTGCAGCGGAATGATCCATAGTCGAGAAGTGACGAATGGAGAGAGCCCGACGTCTGATTCGATGGCTAGGGTAACGGCCGAAATTATCGAATTCAATTTCGTGGTGATTCCGAACATGACGGGGTTTGTTCATATGTGATTCGTGGTTGGTGGTGGCGAGGGATTTGAATGGCGGGCGTGAGGCGGACTTGTCATGGGTGGGTGCCGTCCGCCTCACTTTTCTGCCTATCTACTGCAGGCTCACACCCCCCAACCTGTGAGATGGAACGCAATCCAGATGGATGGTTCCCACTCATGAGAAACCGNACCCCCCAACCTGTGAGATGGAACGCAATCCAGATGGATGGTTCCCACTCATGAGAAACCGTCAAGACAATGAAGGTATGTGGCGTAAGGCCTTGCATGCAGGCATAGCAGAGGCAGGTTCTGACGACTGAGAACTCGAAGCGGTGAGGATGCCGACAGCTGAACCCAAAAGGGCAAGACTGTGAAAGTGCTTTTCTTGTCTTGCACTTGGTGCAATAATAACACGACTTGTACACTCGTAATCACCACTTGAATGCAGTGCGTGAGGATTGGCACGCCCTGATGGTCGCATAGTTGGCGAAGATAAATACCTTCGTCGTCCTCCTGATCACCATCAACCAAGAACAGCATGCGCCATCTTATACACCCCGGGTTTCCGGATAGACAGATCACCTTCTTCATGCTCGAACAATCGCCATAGCCATGCCCTCGTCGTCAGAGATGAACAGATACTGGATTCCCAGGTTGGACATCCACAAAAAGATCATCACCCAAGAGCTTCCCTACTACCTTGGTCCGGATGCGACGGTCAGACCGTACACAAACGAGGTGTGAACATCTCAGACAAGATGCCCGAGACGCCTCTCACAGCATCAATAGGGAGAGGATGGTTTCCTCATCACTACCCCAGGCCCCTGCCTAACAGATGTGAGCCTCGTCGTCGCTTGCCCCTGTTTGGCGCAGAACTGTAAGCCACTGACTACCGTCGCCTGCCACAGGAACAAATCGACGATATCTGCAGGAAATCCAAAGAAATGTGGGAGCGACAAGCCGCGATTAGGGCTCAGGAGGCCGACAAGCCTCTCAAGAGACCGCTGCACCAGCCGGTGGTCATATCCAGAGGGTCGAACGACTCGTCACGAAGGAGACACGATGCACACCGCAGCCACGAGCGGCATAGACGTTACGATGATAGGCGACGTGAATGATAGTGAGCCGTTCGGCGGAGCCGACTGAAGTGATCGAGATCTCAGATTGGGCCAGATTTTTCTTTGGATCTAAGCACACAGACGACACAGGCGTTGCAGGCGGCCGGGTGAGCCCTTTCATGCATAACGGCACGAAATTTGTGGGATTTGATGATCCAAAGCACTACCATATGCGAAGAAGGTGTTGCTGGTGGTGAGGGGAAGCTGATTTGTGTGGCCTGGTGGTCGCAGCGGACGGTGGATCCGACCGAACTCTCGTTGTTTTTGACTGGTTGAGCGACAGGTGGACGAAGCAGTATAACCAAGTCTGTCTGATTGGGACAGGCCTGGCTTTGTGTCCCAGAATGGTCCAGAAACAGCCTGCCATCTGGCATTTTTGGGGGCCAATGGTGACGACCGACGTCTCCGGCGTCGTCTGCCCATTACTCCTAATAGGTATGTGTATGCGGAATTGTTGCAAGAGGCGCATAGCGAAACAACGCGTCGGCGAATGCGACCAGCTAGCTTTTCGTCCCGTCCAGATACCCAATAGGCATATGAATTGCATTTCCCAAATAGACAAGTTGCATAGAAGTCGAACCGAATAAGTTCTGAGGACCAACGACAGCACGTGTTTTATCCGAAGATGGCTGCTCAGTGGGACGTCCCGAAGGTATGCGAATCCCGACACTAATTTCGGCCCGTGTCCGACTTCAAATCGTGAAGCATGAATCCATCAATGATCGGGAAGCACTGGCTCTTATCGAGGTGTCATGGTGCGTTGTGTGGAGGGACTAATGAGCGAAGCAAGGCTGGCCGGTCAGGGTGGTGAGTAGAAAGTATGTGTGACACGTCTGCCTATTCACGGCGTAGGAAGGGGCATGTCGAAGTGTGCCGAAGTCAGGTGGCATACCCGTACCCCTCACCCTCAGGTGGTGCGCTTTGCCTCGTCAGAGCATCGGCCGCAGACCCATCCGGGGGCTATTTCATGATTTCTCGAACGTCGCCTCGTACCGCTGAAGATTGAGAGGACCGGCGGACCAGAGCATCAGCGCTTGAACGGCCACATGCTGCGGCTCGCGGGTCGTCCCTTTGGCCCGTGTTCCCAAAGAGGCAGGCGTGAGATAGCCGACCACGTTCACCCACTCGCCAATACGTGTCTGCTCTGACTTGAGGTTGCCGAGAAGGAGGCTGACATCGACCAATGCACTAACATTGGATCCTTTGGGGGATTCGTGGTGTAATGTAAGCACAGCCGATTCCATTGAATAGGACGTGACACTGGAGCCAAGTCAGCAGCCAGAGCATGAGAAAGCACCGGTAAACTCCCGATGACGACGAGCGGACGTCGAATCATAAAGAGCGTCGTTGTGTATGAACTTGGGCACCTTACCATCCTAAGAACCGGATCTTTTCGCCTGGAGGTTTGGAAGGCAAGTCTGACAGGAGACTGAGCTTCGAGGGGAGTGGGCCCCTTGACATGGTTGATGCGATTGTTAGTCCAAGGCGATATTGTCATGGTAGTATTGTGGACGTAGTGTCTTCATGTATGTCCGGTTATCGTCGATTACTGCGGTTGAAATATGACGATGCGAGGATTGAGCAGACGTTTAGTCGGAGTGGAACAGCAAAGTGCCTTCCGCAGTCAAGGCACCTCTCCGCCAGTGCCTTCTACCTACCTTACCAAGCTCGACTCACTGGGCCGATGCTACATTATATAAGCAGCTCTTCTGATAAGGCGATAAGACATTGGTCTCGGAAAAGCCTCACGTGCGCGGCGGAACTGGGTCATCTGACCGGCTAAACCGCGGAGGAATCAGGCGCCCAAGGTTGCTGGGCGAGCACCGTCATCGCCCGCCGCCCACTAAACGGCATCGCTAAGCCAGTCGGGAGCTTGCATCATACCTGCCTACGTATCTCGACTCTATCTCTCAGCCTTCTGCCTATCGGCCCTCGCGATATTTCGACCTGCTGGCCGCGAGTCCTTCGTCGCACCATCTAGAGCCTCATTAGTCGAGTCCGCCAATACCCTTTATCCGCTCCACGGTTCGTTGACGACGCCTGGCGCCCACTTGCGTCCTGTTTCGGGACCCCGCCATCAAACTTCGGCCTGCTGCCACGCAACCCGATATCACGGCTGCCTTCGAGCCGTAGCTGCCTGCGCACATCCTCAAAACCGACTCGCATCTTCTCGAGCGACACTTTTCGATACCCTCTTTCCGGCCACCGCGAAGCGAACATCATCATGTCTGGCGTCTGGGGCTGGTTTGGCGGCGGCGGTGGCGCCAAGAAGAAGAACGATGCCAAAGATGCGATCCTTGGCCTGCGAGTCCAACTCGATATGCTGCAAAAGAGAGAGAAACACTTGCAAAACTTGATGGATGAACAAGATGCTATCGCAAGGAAGAATGTGAACACAAACAAGAACGGTGAGCAGGCCGAGCGGGATTTCATGGTTTGTAGGCCGGGGTGCTAACGAAATGTTCCGATAGCCGCAAAGGCTGCCCTGCGCCGCAAGAAGGGCCACGAGCACAGCCTGGAGCAAACAGTTTCCCAAATCACGACACTTGAGTCCCAAATCAACGCTATCGAGTCTGCGAACATCAACCGCGAGACATTGCTCGCTATGGAGAAGGCTGGCCAGGCCATGAAGGGAATTCACGGCAAGCTCACGGTCGAAAAGGTGGACCAGACCATGTATGTCCCCAAACCTTATCACATGACGATGTTTCGACGTACTTACCAGCGAATGCAGGGAGGACCTCCGAGAACAAAATGCACTCAGCGAAGAGATTGTCAACGCTATCACAACGGGACAAACGGACGCCATCGACGACGTGGACTTGGAGGATGAGTTGGAACAGATGCAGCAGGAACAGTTGGACGAGCAGATGATCAGCACCGGCTCGGTTCCCGTATCGGATGCTGTACACCGCATGCCCGCTCCGGCAAACGGAGAACGTAAGGATCCCTCATCCACGCCCGGTCTAGATCCAATGACTAATCATAGCCGCGCAGTCAAAGGCAAGACGCCCGTCGCTGTCGAGGAGGACGACGAAGAGGCAGAGCTCCGTAAGCTGCAGGCGGAGATGGCCATGTAAGGGGCCTAAGACGTCAAGTAATGCTGTGGGGACGGTCGAGAGTGGTGGCATAGCATTCCTGGTTTGGGACGGGGGCTTCTGGAGGCATGCATGGAACTACGGTGCGCACGAGGGGAAACCGAGGTGCCATGCGAATGGGCCTTTGCCCGACAGAAGTGGACGCTGCACGACATACCTCGCAGCGCACAGGCACAAGCACGCTCGAACGCAGGGCGTGCTGTGAAGGAGAAGGTATCCTGTGCGGCCTTGGTTCACATGTTTTTCAGCCAGCTAGCTAGCCCTCCTCCCCTTTCCAGACCTGTCTACTGGCGTTGGCGTTTTGGGGCACTTGGGTGCTATTCGATGGGAATCTCGCGGTTGTGGAGGCTGAAGGGAGTTTGACAAGCTTTTTCTGCGTTGCGGGAGGGTACTTTACACAGTCTACGTCTACGTCTACGTCCGAGTCTTCATAGAACACACATTGACCATTGTTGAGAAGCTAGAAGGGTCGGTGTAAGGAATACATGCAGTGTCTATCATCGGAAACCTAAGTACTTGGGAATGCATTGCTGGCGTCTGTTTCCAGGGTCCTTCTAGAACTAGAATGGGTTGCTTGGCTTATGCGCCGGAGACGCAGCCGCGCTGCAGCGGTGTCTGGTCCGGTGAGCGGCGGGCGAGACATCGACGGTCCACCTGGGCTCGATGGATCATGGCGGTGTTGGCCGCCTGAGTCGAGGTGAGAGGGTCCCACCTGACCGGGACCGGGACAGAAGCCACTGCTCACGTGTCTCGGCACACCGCCAGTCGCCAGGAGTGACCGATCGTGATGATGGACGTCCGAAGCTACGATCAATTTCCCCGTGGGCGTCGAGGTGGCGGCGATGGCGATCCGGAGGCCTCGCTGGCCGCAGCCGTGATCCGAGTTACGGTCTCCGTAAAACAAGCGGGGTCAATATGCGCTGGACGATGCTATCTCGATGAATATAGAGTGGACTCGACCATCAGGAGAAAAGAAAATGAGGCTTTACGACGTGTTCATGCAAAAAATTGTTAAGGGTTGACTGAGGCCATGGACGGTGGGTGGACGAGGCGGTTGGTACGGTTGGCTCTCCAAGAAAAGTTAGGGACGTTTTGCTGAAGAAGCGGGCGTCCGGCGATGCTGCAAAAGTACCTTTGGCCTCAATTTGCTCAGGGATTGGGCGATGGCGGGGATACCGATACTTGTTTCTTATCGCGACCCACACGAGATGTTTATCACGGCAGCTAAGAGCAGGCTTTTTAGAGAGGATTACCCTCAGAGACAAGCGCGCTGGAAGTATGGCCTGTGTCTGCTGTGTTTCTGTCTCATTTAGCGCCCAACGCACCACCGCCGTATTTTCTTCTGCCCTCATCCCAGACATTTACAGGGCACGTCTAACTTTTGAGCTGGCATTCCAGCCCAACGGTGACCGTGGTGCCCTGTAGGGTCACAACGGCCCTTCCCAAAGCACTGGCGGTGACGTGACAGCGGCCAGTGCGCCTTCCAGAACAACGGAATGGAATGGCACCCGACCTTCCTTTTCCCTGAGCTGGTAAATTGAAGGGCCAAGTTAATTTTTCCCTCTGCCCAGGAAACATCCATGGACCGTTGCTCGTCCAGCATGAACAACAAAACAACTCGCGATCGGACAATTCTACCTCTATCACGCGAACACAACAGGACACTTCACAGACGATAGCAGCCAGCCATCTCCTACGCCTCGTGTTCCCTCCCAGCAACGATACCACTCGATATCACCTTCGGTATCGCGATGGCCTCATCGTGAGCTTCACTGCCCTGCCAGCCCGACGGGCGTCCGTCAACGGGCAACCACCGACACCTGCCAACTGTTCAGTCATTGTCGGGATCAGCCTGAATGGACGTCGGTGCCGGACAGAAGTTGGCACTAATCGGCAACCATGTCGTCTGGCTGTCGTGCTCTCAGCGCCCAACCAACCCCCGGGTTTCGACCTCTGCGGCCCATCGCATTTCCCTCAATCTTGCCCACCGTCTGTGGCATGTCGTCGGACCAGGTCGGGTTCCGCAGGGTATCAACGGCGCCAATGGCAGTAATTGCTTTTGCGCGACGGGACGCATACTCGCTGCACATCTCCTCGGGCCAGACTGGGCTACTGCACCTCTCACACACCGTCCTTCGGGAGGAGCCATGTGGTTACCTCAGCCATCCACCGCGACCACCATCCCGCCCAACCTCCGCTACCTACGTTCTCGTACCCAGGTAGACGCCAACCTCTCCCCACGACCCGCCAGTGACAACCAGGCCAGAGGCTATGCGTATGCGTACATCTGACTCTGTTCAACCCGCACCCTTCGCGTCAGGCGCAAGGTTTCCAAGGAGCATCTCGCGCCAACACCAACTTCAGCCTTCCATGCTGACATGGTCAGCACTGGCTTGCTGGCCTTCGCACTTCCGCCTAACCATCATATCTTTGGTCGTCGAAAAGTCTACCGAGTAACTCACTGTACTCTACTTGTGTTTACAAACCGCTACAAACCGCCGCCCAACCCCACCATTGCGACGGCCGGTGCCACTATCGCTGTCACTGCAGTCACATCCGCCCCTCCCGCCAGCCCGCGGTCCGGACTCTGCTGCATGGATCTTCACAGGCGAGCCTCAACCAGGCGAGCCACGTTGCACGTCGCTGACCGGGGTTTAAATGGCCGATGAGAAACAAACCGCGCTCTTTCGCCTTCCAACCCCCACCGTCACCATTACCTGCCGCTGCGACCTGCCCTCAGGGACGCTGGAAACTCCTCTCCCGCTTACACAAAACTCTCACACAGAATCACACACATACAACCTATCTCACCCTGCCGCTTAACTGCATGTAGCCAACCCGCGGGTTCTCCCTCGTCCACCCTCCATCTTCTCGAACAACGGATGACAGACCACTTGGGCTGAGGGTGTCCTCCGTTGTGTGATTCCAGGAACCACTCTTCCGTCGGCAATCTTTTCCTTCTGTCCTGGCAGGCACCATGTACCTAGCCAACAGCAAGGATCCGTCTGGCTCCAGTGGGCCGGCCCATCGTGTTCCCTGTCTCCTATTGCCCGATACGCTCGAGTGCGCTGGGCCAGACGTTGACGACCAGCGCAGCACAGCAATTATTAGCTCATGACCGCTAAGCAGACGGTTACTCAATGCTTCACCGGCTGCCGTTTCTTAAGTTTTTCAGACAGGCATACGGGATAGAGGAATACATGGGGCCCTCTATGCCTCTTTGGGCCGACCATTTCACGTCTGAAAAGTCTTCCCTGGAGGATAACGGTTCAACACGGTTGTCTGGACTGTCTCTCAACCGTGGCATTTGTCTCAAATCTTGATGCTTGCCTTCTTAGTCTCAGACACGGCCCATAGTACTGGACCGAAATTGTCTCAGTTTCCTCTCGAACTCGAGAACATCTGGTTAGGATTGGGCTCATTGGGTTGATGCAAGTGTTCTACCCTACAGAGCTAAGATACCGGGACGCGGAAGAGCAAAAGAAGATAATTCACGACAAAAGGGGTTAAGACTACATAGTTTAAAGTACATATCCCGGAAGAAATCAGCGGCATTCATGCCCGCCATCGTCGAGCCGCCTCGCTATGCCGGTTGGCCGCTTCATCCCAATTGCATCGTCGTTGGGCAGCCATTATCCCTCCTTCACCTCGGCTCCTGGTCCGTCCGATGTTCACCCCCTTCATGTCTCTCCTGTCTCTCATCACATCATCTATCCATCCAACTGTCAAGCCCCCCGAATTCCCAAAAGCCTCAAACCCCAGTCCATACCAACCCAATTGCGACGTGGCGCCAGTCTCCTCCCGCCTCACTTGAGCCAATGGCTCTGAAGCACGACAGTTGATCACTTGGACTCAGAGATTGCCCGAATCTGTCCCCATTCGTGGGGACGACGTGGGGTACGCCTGCGTCAGGGACCCCTTACTCCCGCGCCCTGTACCCTGTCTCCAGCCAGTGATGCTTGCGATGTTTGGCACTGCTAGGAAAGCTCCCCCCTGCTTGTCGAGAACCTACTTTTTCTACCACGTCTTGGCCCAGTTGTGCGCTCCTGGGTGTGCCTTGGACAGTTCGCATCTCGTCATTCATGGTCCTTATTTCCCCCTACCCTATCCATTGTCAAGCCGAGACAACAAACCTGCCACTTCCCGGTCACCAACTATCACCAATCCATCTGTTGTCTGTTTACACTGCTACGTTCGTCTCATAGGCGACGAGATACAAAGCTGTACTTCCTTTTGAGTTTCGCGATACCCGCCCAAGAGACTCGATTCCTCTCGATTCTGGTTTGGGCACCACACACTGCAACAAGACAATCGAGAACCCAACGTGAGCAAAGACAACACCCAATCTCACTCTCCCCAAAAAGATCCAATCAACCAGGTAAGCCACAGGCAACATCAGACCATCACCCCCGGATCTGCATTGACTGTGTATCAGATTAGGCAAGGGCACCCATAATCACCAGTCCCGGACAGCATGAATTCGAATGAAGATCCGGTCGACTACTGCCCGTACCGGGCGAACGTTGGCTGGGGCCAAGTCCAGACACAGGACTTCTCCAAGGTCAACTACTTTCAAGCCTCGGATGACGAGCTACGGAATGGTAAGAAAGCTACGTACCGCGCATGCTTTAATTGATATCGCATTGTCCAATTCTGACCTTATTAATTTCCAAAGACGACGACGTATTCGCCAACGGTCAGGTGTACCCCGCGCAGCCACAAGCTTCATCAAGTAGCAAGAAGAAGAAGAAGAGCAAAAAGGACAAGAAGGCCGCCGCAGCACCACCAGCCCCGGCCATTTACGACGAAGCACCAACACCCCCCGAGTACGCCGCACCAGAGACACCACAAGAAACCGTCTTCGCAGATGAAGAGTGGGCGCCAATAACCAAGACAAAGAAGAAGAAGAAGAAGAAGAAGGGCCTGAAGGAGGAAGCTGCACCACCTCCCCCTCCACCGCCTGTAGAACCGGAGCCGACGCCTGAACCCGAAGAGGAACCGGAACCTCAGCGCGAGCCAACAATCCCGGAGGAGCCAGAGCAAGAACCGGAGCCTACGCCTGAGCCTGAGCCCGAGCCCGAAGTCGTTGCAGAGCCGCCGCCCTCGCCACCTTCCAAAAAGTCCAAAGAGTCCGCCAAGGAGGTACCCAAAGAAACATCAAAGGAAACCTCCAAGAAGAGCAAGAAAGACAAGAAGAAGGACAAAAAGAAGAAGAAGGGCGCCAAGGAGGCTGAGCCGGAGTCGGTTGAGAGTCCCAAGTCCGTTCCCGCGGAAGACGCCAAGCCGCCCAAGATGGACGAGCCAGAGGTCCCTACTTCCGACCGTAGTCTCGGGGATCCCAAGGACGACGCCGACAAGGGTGACTCGAGCGCAATCCCAGCAGCTGCAGCCGCCGCTGCGATTGCGACCGCTGGAGTAGCGGCCGTTGTTGCGACAGACGCGGCATCGTCAGATTCACCGGATGCGCCCGCCAGCGAGGAGAAACAGGAGGACAACGATGCGGAACCCTCAGACACGCCTGCTCCTGCTCCTGAGCAGGAGGAGGCTGCGGCTGAGGCGGAAGCTCCTGAAGATGTCTCCAATGCTGTTCAGAATGCAGAAGAAGAAGCTCCCTCAGACACTCCAGATGCTCCTACAGAGCCTTCAGACGCCCCTGCTAGCGACGAGAAGACAGAGAGCAACATGGATGCTCCTGTCGACGATACCAAGCAGGATGGTGAGGATGCAGCTCGTACGGACACTCCAGAGGCCCCCACAGATGCACCAGACGCTCCCGTTGAAGAGGAGAAGATCGAGAGTACGCCTGAAGCACCCGCCGACGATGAGAAGCAGGGTGAAGAAACTGTTCCTGCAAATGCTCCAGAAGCCTCAGAAGCCCCTGTGGCCGACGAGACGTTGGAAGAGGAAAAGGCAGCACCTTCAGATCCTGTAGATGCTCCTGTGGAGGAGGAGAAGCAGGAAGCCGAGGATGCGGCTCCTTTCGACACCCCTGATGCTCCCGCGGACGCGCCAGATGCGACAGACGTTCCCGTCGCTGACGAGAAGGTCGAGGCTTCAGATGCTGCTCCCACAGACAGTCCTGAAGCCGCCGCTTCAGAAGATGAGGTCCAGGCTGCGAAAGAAGCCCCTGCAGACAGCGCTGAAGCTGCTGTGCCTGAGGAGAAGGCCGAAAACGTCGACGAATCACCAGCAAATACCACACCAGAGTCCACACTGGAGTCTACACCGGAGACTTCAGAAGAAAGTACACAGCCGACGGAGCCACCCGCCGCTGAAGTGTCTGAGGACCCTCCAGCTGCCGATGCCACCGCCAGCGTTCCCGAGGAGGAATCAGGTGACAAGACCGAGGGTGATGCGGCGGCTGAGGCTGCTCCTCCACCTGAAGACTCTGCGCCAGCTGATCCTGCTCCTCCGGCTGAAGATGCTGCGCCGGTTGAAGATGCTGATGAAGCTGCTGCCACTGAACAAGCGGAAACTCAAGATGCCCCGGCCGTTGACACAACCGATGATGTACCGGTTGCCAACGATGTGCCCAGCAACTCGGAGAAAGCAAGCGACAGGCCTGCCGAGGACGCACCTGCCCCTGAAGAAGCGAAGAGCGAAGAAATCGAGCCACCCGTTGCCGAAGCTGCCGAGGAATCACCGGCTGCCGATACAACGCCCAGCGATCCCGCAGAAGGAGGAGAGAAGCCCGAAGAGACTGTCGCGGCCGAGGAGACCGTCGCCCCTAAGGACCAAGAGAAGCCAGAAGACGCGGCGGCAGAGGTTGCGGAACCCGAAGCGTCCGCCCCTCCCGAGGATGAAGCCTCCGCCCAGCCTGAAAAGTCCGCCCCTCCCGAGGATGAAGCCTCCGCCCAGCCTGAAGAGTCTGCTCCCCCAGACCAGCAAGGCGCCGAGGTCGTCGCCCCCGCGGAGGAAGACAAGGCAGATGCGGCGGACGAGACTGCAGCTCAGGCAGATCCTGACACCACACCCGCAACTGCCGAAGAAGAAGCCAAGGACCCGCCCAGCGACACACCTCCAGCGGAACCCATCAACGATACAACACCTGATGATGCGGCCGTGCCAGTCGAGGCTGCCAGCGAAGAACCAGATGAGGCTGCTAGCGAGCAGCCATCCGAGCCTCCCATTGATGAAGCGGCACCGGCTGAGACTGCCACCGAGCCAGTCGCCGAGGAGCCAGCGGAAAAGCCTAGCGATGCTCCTCAAGAGGAATCTGCCGGTGAAGCTCCTAGCGAACAGCCTGTGGAACCTTCCGGCGAACAGCCAGCTGAGGTTGCAAGCGAGGAGCCAGTCGCGGCTGCCGCTGAGGAGCCGGCTCAGACTCCCGCCGAGCAACCTACCGATGGACCAACTGAAGCCGCCCCGGAGGATGGTCCTGGTGAAAAGCCAGCCGAAGACACAGCTGAGGCGCCAGTCGAGACACCGGCTGAAGCACCAGCTGAGGCTCCAGCAGAGGCGCCGGCAGAGACGCCGGCAGAAGCAGCGGCAGAAGCACCGGCTGAGACAGCCGAGGCGGACACCGAGGAGCCCGCCGGTGAGCCTGCCGATGAGCCTGCCGAGGATGCCAGCATCACTCCGGAAGAAGTACCGGCCGCCGAGATCCAGCCTGAAGACGCAGCCCCAATTGAGACTCCTGATCAGCCATCAACCGAGGAGGCCTCTCCTGAAGAGGAAACCGAGGACAAAGCTGTCGACGCTGCCCCCGAGGCCAAGCCCGAAGAGGATCCGGTCTCAACGTCCCCTGATGAGGAAGCAGCACAAGACGCATCCGTGTCAACTGAAGGTATGGACCAGTACGAACTGATTAGCGACGGCAAAGACTTCACCTTTTCGGAAGCGAATCTCAACACAGAGACCAAGGATGCTAAGACAGTAACAGAGCCAGTCACGGAAACCGAGGAAGCTGCCACGGAGGAGACCCCTGCCGATGTTCCCGCCGACGCACCAGTGGAGCCCACTCCCGCTGCGGACGCGGACGCCGCGGCCGAACCGGAACCAACTCCGGAAGCCGAGATTGCGGCCGATGCGCCCGCAGAGCCTGCCGAACCTGCCGAAACTCAGACTCCGGATGATGCCAAAGCCGAGGAAACAGCCGAGCCTGAACTCACTACTCAGGAGGACGACATTCCAGAGCCTGCCGTCGAGCAAAGTAGCGAGGAAGCCCCGGTCGCCGTGCCGGAGCCCGCCCCCGAGAGCACCGAAGCGGAGACCGCTGAGACCGCGGAGACCGCGCCCAAGCCGGACAGCCAAGATGAAGTGGCGGGGGCCACCGCTGAAGCAGACTCGACGCCGGAAGAAAGCAAGGCTGAAGCGACCGAGACCGAGGCCGCTCCACAGCCCGAGGCTTCCGACCCTGAGCCAGAAGTCGTTGATACGCCGGCGGAAGAGACCAAGGACGAGGGTGACGATGCTCACAAGCCCACTGATGAGCCAGCTGCGGAACCGGCCACTGCTGATGAGGCTGCTGTCGTTGACGAGAGCCCCACCGAGGAGGTTCCGGTTGTTGACGACGGCGAGACCCCAGCTGCAGAGGAAGCGCCCACAACAGCACCTCCTGCGGAAGAAGCTGTCAGTGCTGAGCAGGCTCAAGAGAGTCCTTCTGACGCCCAGCCCGCCGAGGAAAGCGTTGCGGACCAGCCTGCAACTGCCGAAGACAAGCAAGAAGATGCAGTGCCAGCACCCGACGCGGCCGAAGAGGTAGCTCAACCCGATGCACCTGCTCCAGAGACTGAAGAGACCCCTGCGAGTGAAGAACAAGCCAAAGACAGTCCCGCCGACGGCGACGCAGCCCAACCAAGCAATGTCGAAGAGGAACAACCCGCAGCAACCGATCCACCTGCAGCAGAGGAGACCGCGGAAGACAAGCCTGTTGTCGAGGCTCAGCCTGAAGAAGCCGCCGCTCCAGCAGAAGATACCCAAACCGAGAGCGAAGATGCCCCCGCCCCTGCTCCTTCAGACGAACAACCTGATATTTCTGCCGAAGAACCCAAGGAAGTCTCTGCTGAAGGCGAGGCCGCTCTTGAAACTCAGGAAAGCCCCGTCGGCGATGAGGTCGAAAAAGCAGTTGTTCAAGAGCAAGATACCCAGCCAGACTCTTCTGCAGACACAGCTGAGGCACCAGCTGAGGCACCACAAACAGACGAGGCAAAGGAACCCGAGAGTGATCCTGTAGCTGAGCCTGTTGAAGCCAGCGAACCGGAACAGCCCGTTGAAGCTAGCGGATCCGAGGAACCGGCGGCCGAAGCCGGCGAGGCCAGTGAAACTGCGCCCGAGCCTGCCGAGCCCGTCGAATCTGAGCAACCTGCAGCGGAGACGGCTGAGACGGCTGAAGCTGAGCAGCCTGCCCTGGAGCCCGTCGAGGCCACAGAGGCAGAGCAAGCTGCGCCTGAACCTCAAGAACAACCGGCTGAGTCCAGCGAGCCTTCCACGCAGCCCGAGGCCGACCCGGTCGAGCCGAGTGAGGCTGTGGCAAGCCCTCATGAGGGCGAGGAAGCTCCTGCGGAACCTGTCGCGGCCGAACCTACTGCTGAGCCTGTTGCTGAGTCTGTTGCTGAGCCTGTTGCTGAGCCTGCTACTGAGCCTGTTGCTGAGCCTGCTACTGAGCCTGATGCGACTGAAGAGCCTCCTGCGGCCGAGCCTGTTGCAGAAGAGCCCGCCGCCGAGCCTGCCACGGCTGAGGAAACACCTGCCGAGCCTGCTCCCGCCGAAGAGCCACAAGCCGAGCCAGTCGCAGAAGAGCCTTCTGCTGAGCCTGTTGCGTCTGAGGATGCCTCTGCTGAGCAAGTTACAGACGAACCTCCTGCTGAGCCTGCTACTGAGCCTACTGCAGCAGAAGAAACTCCTGCTGAACCAGCGCCAGAGGAGGTCGCTGCAGCAGAAGAAACCCCAGCTGAACCGGTTACAGAGGATGCTGCTGCTGAGCCTGCTTCGACCAAAGAACCTCCTACCGAGCCTGCTTCTGATGCTGCAGCTGAAGAAGCACCAGCTACTGAGCCAGCGGCTCCCGAAGAAACTCCAGCCGAACCAGTTACGGAGGAACCAGCTGTTGAGTCTGCGGCGCCCGATGAACCTTTCGCTGAGCCAGCCATCACTGAGGAACCATCCGTAGAACCAGTTGCTGCTGATGAGGAGCCTGCTGCCGAGCCTGCTGCTGCCGAGCCTGCTGCTGCCGAGCCTGCTGCTGCCGAGCCTGCTGCGGCCGAGGAGCCTGCGGCTGCTGAGCCCGAGGCGGAAGCACCCCAAGCTGAACCAGTCGCACCTGAGGAGGCACCTGCCGAGCCGGCTGCGAGCGAAGAACCTCCTGTTGACCCTCCGGCTGCCGAAGAAGCTCCCGCCGCCGAGGACGCTCCCGCCGCTGAGGACGCTCCCGCTGCTGTGGAGGCACCCGCTGCTGAGGACGCTCCTGCCCCTGAAGAAGCGCCGGCCCCAGAAGAAGCTCCCGTTGCCGAGAACGCGGCTGCTGAAGAAGCTCCTGTCGCGGATGAGGCTCCCGCCTCTGAAGATGCTCCCGTTATTGAGGAGGCTTCCGTCCCCGAAGAGACTCCTGCTCCTGAAGAAGCGCCGGCCCCTGAAGAAGCTCCCGTTGCCGAGAAAGCGGCCGCTGAAGAAGTACCTGCTACGGAGGAGGCTCCAGCTGCTGAAGATGCCCCGGTCGCTGATGAAGCCCCAGACGCTGAAGAACCGGCTGCTGAAGAGGTTGTGGCTACTGAGGAAGCTCCAGCTGAACCTTCTGCGGTCGAAGAACCTGCTGCTGCAGAAAATGCCGCTGAAGACCCTGCGGCCGAACCTGCTGCTGAGGAAGCCCCAGTCATTGAAGAGCCTGCTGCTGAACAAGCCCCTGTCGCCGAGGAGCCGGCTGTTGAAGAGGCTCCCGCTGAACCTGCTCCAGCTGAGGAACCTGCTCCGGCTGAGGAACCTGCTCCAGCTGAGGAACCTGCTGCCGAAGAAGCTGCTGCCGAAGAAGCCCCTGTTGCTGAGGAACAGGTTGCTGAAGAAGCTCCCGCTGAACCTGCTCCAGCTAAGGAACCTGCGGCTGACCCCGAAGCGGAACCCGCGACAGAGGATAGTCATGCAGCTGAGATTGCCGCAGGAATTGCGGTTGCCGCTGCTGGAGCGACTGCTGCGGCTGTTGTGGCTGATAAGTCTGCGCCGGAAGGAGAGAAGACGCGAGGTTTGGATGTTGAGGAGAGCAAGGACTCGGTGCCGCCGATTCCTAGTGAAGAGAAACCAGGTGAGAATACCCCTCCTTCCCCCGATTCCCCCGATGGAGATGCACGGGAAGGACCGGATGGAGAGAATCCCGAAGACGCCGCCAAGGATGTCCCGGAGGATGCCCCGAACACCGAGGAAGACGATGCCGCACCGGAGCCCACTGGAGAGGAGACCGAAGTCCCAGCTGGAGAGGCCGCCGACCCGGATGCCCCCGAGGCACAACCACAAGAAAGCGATGGCGCGCCGCCAGCCGAAGAAGAGATTTCACCGCAAGAGGACTTGACGACGACCGCTGAAGAGCCTGGGCCAGAGCCAAGCTCGCCTGAAGATGAAGACGCCGCTCCTGTCGAACAGACCGAGCCCGAACCCGCGCCCGAGCAAGCCGAGCCTCAAGAACCTGAACAGGTCGAACAAGAGCCCGAGAACGTCGAACAAGAACCGGAACAAGCTGAGCCACAAGAGCCTGAGCCTGCCGAGCCCGTCGAGGCTGTCGAGTCCCCTGAGCCTGTCGAGTCCGCTGAGCCTGCTGAGACTGCTGAGCCGCAAGAACCTGAACCAGGACCTGAGCAAGCCCAGCCACAAGAGCCCGAGAACGTCGAACAAGCAGCTGAAGAAGTTGAGCCGCAAGATCCCGAGCCAGAACCCGAGCAAGAGGCCGAACAAGTCGAACAAGAGCCAGAAGCAGTCGAGGTACAAGAGCCTGACCCCGTCGAACCGCCAGAGGACCAGGCATCTGTCGAAGAAGACAGTTCCCCTGCCGAAGACAGTTCCCCTGCCGAAGCCAGTCCTGTTGAAGATGCACCAGAAGAATCTAAAAAGAATGCTCCAGACGACGATGATACAGATGCTGCCATCACAGGAGTTGCAGCCGTCGGTGTTGCTTGCGCCGCTGGCCTGGTAGCCGTAGATCAACTCGGCAAGGACTCCGACGAAACCATTTCACGCCGCGGTTCTTCAGACAAGCTCACACAGACTCTTGACGGCAACATTCCAATGTCAGGGTCCGCTACTCTTGCGGGATCCAAGCCAGAAGACGTCGACGTGGATGCCAACTTCAGCCCGGTGGAGAAGGAAGGGTTTTCAGATCAAGGCACGCAAACAGACAGCAGCTCCGTCTTTGGCTTCAGGCCCTCGACTCCAGCTGTGATTCTACCTGATCTTTGCGATCCTTCATCACCAGCCTCCAGGGCGAGGGCAAAGGCACTCAGGCGGCAACGCAAGCTCTCGGTTGCTCGGGCCGAAGAACTTGTAGCAGCGGCTGTGATTATCTATGCTACGGCCCAGACTCTCAGCCCTCCGAACAGCCCCTCCTCCCAGGACAGCTCACAGCTCATCAAGGCTATGCCCAGCCTGGACCAACAATTGAAGATGAAGCCAAAGAAGGCTCGAGCATTCTTCTCGCGGGTCCTACCAAGCCTTCTTTCCAGACGCAGGAGTACTACCACTAAGGGAGCGGATACAGTGAATGAATTTGGTGCTAACCAGTTTATAGAAAGAAAAGAAGAGCGCGACAAGCACCGCCGACACCGCCGCTCTTCCCACTCTTCCCACCATCCATCTTCATACTCCAGTCGTCGGGCTGAGGAGGAAGGTCGCGACAGCAGTCGCCGCCATTCGTCTCACTCCCACCAATCCACTCATCGCCGTCACCGCACCGACAGCGATCGATCATCTTACCGATCTCGCGACACGGCTCCAAGCACGCCCCCGAGAACGCCCAAGAGACAAGACAGTGGCTTCTCGGAAAGCCCGCAGACACAGACCACCACCCGCCGCCGCCGTCACAGCGAGCGAAGCGAGGGTCGCAGTGAGCATACGGAGAGAAGCGAGAGACGTTCTGAGCGCACTCCTGAGGAGCAAGCAGCTCATGATAGAAGAAAAGAAGAGCGAAGACTTGCAAGAGACAAGGAACGCGCTCGCGAGCGCGAGGCCGAGCTCGAACGGGAGAGGGAGCAAGAGCAAAGAGATAGAGAGAGAGACAGAGAACGAAGAAGAGAGAAGGAACGGCAGCGCGAGCGTGAGCGGGAGAGGGAGCAAGAGGAAAAGGAGAGAGAGCGCCGTCGCAGCACCAAGGGTAAGGAGCCAGAGATGCTCGACAGGTCACAAGAACCCATGGAGCGCAGCCACCGCCGTTCTTCTCGCCGTCACAGTACCTCGGAGCACAACCGCCCCGAACGCGCTATCCCGGAGCGCACCTCCAGCAAGCGAGAACGCCGAGATGTGCGAGAACCCTCGTCGGACAGGACAGGGCCAAGACGATTCTTCAGCGTCAGAAACCGAGAAGGTACGGCTTCATCGGCAGCAGCCCCCCCTCAGGATCCCCCCCTTGCCAAGGACGACATGCCAATGGATGACGACGCAGGACACCAAGACGCAGCGGCGACTCGCGACATTCCTAATCGGACAGACACCACGCGTTCCAGGCACCGTCACCGCCGCCATTCCGAAGACGGCAGCGGCAGGGCTAAGCTCCAGAAAGTGCGTGACCAGGTCGCCGAGGAGGCCAGGCGAGTGGCAGAGGAGAAGCCCCGCTCGAAGCATTCTTCTCATCATTCCCACGCCAGTCCGGACGACTCTCGTCGCAGAGCTCGCGAGGAGGGCAGGAAGAAGACGAGAGATGTTGAGAAGGAGCGGGAGAAGGAGAAGTCTGGCGGCATCAAGGGCATGTTCAAGAAATTGTTCAACTGATGATTTGTGTGTGTAATGATGTTACGACTACGATTTGTACGCGGACTGGATCGATGCTTTTTTATGGAACGACAAGACTGCACGGGTTTGACGGACTGGATTAGAGGCGCTGTGTGTGATTTGGAGGCCTTGATGATTTCATGGTTTTGGGTTACGAATCATTTCTAATGATTTAATCGCTTCATGAGTAATGTGTTTGGGAATCAATACATGTCTGACGAGTTTCGAACATTGAACTCTCTTGCCCCTTTTCCCACACCACACTTGCATTATCGTCACTGTGATATTTGAACCCATGGCAGGTGGTGGACATGTACGACGTCGAAGCAGCATCCGGATGTCACGGTCTACACCTCGTATCGCTGCGAAGTCCTCGGCCATTCTTCAACATGACTCTTTCTCGCAGGCAATAAATCAGTTCCTAGCGCCTGCAGTGGAACACACACACACACACACACACACACACACACACACACACACAGGTCTGTTATCGTGGTCTTGGTCTAGCCTGCCGCGTCATGCAGCGGACAGCACCGTCCCGAACCGCAGCTGCCGCGGGTGAATCTCTACGCGCGCACACAGGCGAGGACCTCACTTTGCACAAGTTCACTTATCAACACCACCACTACCGCCACCACCGTCACATAGACTATTGCCCAGGTCAATTCCTGGTCTAAGCCATCCACGTCCACTGATTCATGCTTAATGCGGCGCGTTCCATCCGGATGCTCCCGCAAACTCAAAAGATTGTATGCTGTGTCCTCCTGACCCCGAGCGACCCGCAGCAGCAAACCCCGAGCCTGCCTCGTGGCGCCGGCGAAGACTCACCTCCCCGAGGCCGAGACGGGCAATGATCGGTGAGGATTTTCAGGCACGACGCCTGTGAGGGGTCTAGCAGCATCGACCTGAACTAGCGCGATGCACGTATTTTCAGCAGATGTGAACGTTTACATGGGTGTTTTGCAGTAATTAACGAGTCGTTTTTTGGTCTTTAATAGGGGGTGTGCAGTTCGACAAGATTTTCTATAGTCTGTTACGTTAACAGCGTCCGCCCCCCCTTTTTGCCGAAATTATACATGTATAATCCCTATATATACATAAAAATTTGCCTAACGCTATATAGATACTTATAGTATAGTAATTAACCTATTTTAATAGCTTTAATTAATCTATTCCTATTAAATCTTATCGTCTAAGGGTATTATAATACCTCCTAAATACTACTATATAACTTAGTAAGTAAATAATAACCTATCTAGGTATTATCTATTACTTATTACTAATAGTATATAAAAATAACGATATATATAATAATTAGTATAAGATACTACTAAAGATCCTCTTTAATACTCTATTTTACTATTAATTAAAATTATTATACCTACTAAGAGGGCTTATTAAGCTATTACTACTAAGGAAGCTATTAAGGAAGCTACTACTAAGGTTATTATTACTAAAACTAAACTTAAAACTAATAATTTAGTAACTTCTAAGTTTATATTATAAAAAAGGTATATATTTATAATACCTCTATTATTATAAAGAGCTTTAAAAATATCCTCTTACTAAAAAGTAATAATAATATAGAGGAAGTAAAAAAAAAATCTATTATATATAATTTAGCTCTAAAATACCTTACCTTTATTAATACTATTATTTTAATTAGATTTAACTTTAGTTAACCTAACTCCTTATTAAATTACTTAATTTATAGATAATATACTTATAGCCTCTTACTATAGTACTAATAATATATTTATATTATTTTATAATATATTTAAAGAGGAGAATAATATAGGTAATAAGGAACTAATTCTACTATAAATCTAAGTTACTTATAGCTTAATACTTAAAGGTAATAATTTATTTATTCTTAATCTAATTATTAAGAGTATTATATATAATAGATTTAGTATTACTAATATATTAGATATAAATAGTAGAGACTAAGAAGTAGATAGTAGTACCTAATTTAAAGTAGAAGTAGCTTACTTATATATTCTAAAGAAAGTTAATATTATTATTATTATTACTTAGAAGAAGCTTATTAATATATTTAAACTAATATTAATCTTTACTTAAGTCTATCTATCTACTAGAAGGGTTATTTAGCTAAGTATTCTATAAATTAATATTATTCCCTCTCTTAAATAAGCTAAAAAGAGAGGTAAAGTCTACTTTACTATTAAGTAGTAATATAGTATTATATTAATCTTTAGTAGTATAATAACTAATATATAAATACTTTAAAAAAGTAACTAAATAGGTATTTTAGTTAGTATATAAGAGGTAATTAATTATAAGCTTAATAATCTTATAAACATTAAGTATTAGAAAGAGGGTATATATAGATAACTTCTCTATATATATATTTACTTAGAGTATTAGAAATATAAAAATAGTTTAGGTAATAAGAAGTTTAATTAGTATTATATATTAAGCTAAAAGTACTATAAGATTAAATCTCACTATATAGAGAAGTAAGTAAAGACTTTTATAACTAGATAGACTAATATTACTAATATAAAACTACCTAAAGAACTACTTAGTGAGATTCTTTATAATTAGTTTATAGAGGATTAGAAATATTAAAGTAAGAGAAATAAGAATATTATTAAGGTTAATAATAATTAGGAGATAATAATAATAATAAAAGAGAAAGCTAAAAATATTATACTTCTATTATTAAGGTTAAGATCTAGCTTAACTAATACTAATAATAATACTATTATTAATATATATAGTAATATAAGAGTACTAAATTATTATCTTTAATATCCTAACCTATATATATAGCTACTACTATTAGTATTAGCGCTAGTAGTATATTAGCTATATATAAATATCTTATAATATTTATTACTAACTCTTTTATTATTAAACCTTCTAAATACTTATTAACTAAGTATTACACTTCTAATTTATTTATCCTTACTAATAATATTAGATTTACTCTAAAAAGCTTTAGATTAAGTAGCTAGCTTTATTAAATAGTTTATATCTATCTATAATAAGTAATATAATATTAATAAAAAGTTTAGAAAGAAGTTATAGAAACTATAATTAATAGATAGTAGCTTATAAGTAGTTTATAAGTTATTAGATATTTAGTTTACTAAATATAGTTTTATTTAAGATTTTATTAAAAACATTAAGAACTTAATTAAATCTTTTATAGATAATAATACTTATTATAGAGAGTAGTTTAATACTATCTTTAATATAATATCTTACTCTAAACTTTATTTAAATTATTAAGAGTTAGAGGGAGATATTTATATAAGAATATATATTAGATTACTAAGAGGGATAATAGTAGTACTACTTAAAAACTCTATAGTACTAGTTTTAAGTAAGTTAAGGTTATCTTAATATATTAATACCTTAGTATTATATTAATCTATTAAGTAAAAAATCTATAGTATATTAGTTAAAATTAGTTAATATAATAAGTATATATAAAGCTATTTACTATTAAATATAGCTAACTTTATAAGTATTTTAGAACTTTTTAGTTTTATTTTATTACTACTACTATTAGTATTATAGATATTACCTATATAGTTATAGATTAAATAAGATAAAGTTAAGTAAAGTAGTAAAAATAATTAGATTAAAATCTTAAGTAATATATTATTAATAGAGATATATTACTTAGAGGAGGATAAAGAAGAAGAGTAATATAATAAGAGTAATATAAAGTTTAACTATATATATGATTTTCTTATATAATATATTTAACTATAGAAAAGTCTACTTATAGCTATAGATTTAACACTACTACTATATATATATAAAAGCTATAGAATTACTGTGATTTTAGATCTATAAATAAGATAATCTATCTTAATACTTCTTAGTTTAATATAGTTAAAGTCTCTAACTATAATTAAAGTCTCTAACTATAGTGATATATTATTATTATAAATTATCGCTATAAGTATTAATAATATATTTCAGCTACTATATAGGTAAAATTGATATATATATATAGCTACTAATAAAAATAATAGATAATAATATATTTTCTATGTTCTTATACGCTTATAGCTGAACTTTTTGTAATCTTACTAGCTATAATTATAGATCTAATAATTTCCTACTATATAATAATATAATTAAGATCTATTATAATTATATAATAAAGATTTAGATTACTTATTAATATTTAATATTTATAGCTTATCCTCCCTTTTATAGTTTAATATTATTAAATATATACTTTATCTTATTAAAGTTAATAAATAAATAGTAGAAATAGCTTTTAATCTAAAATAGATAATACTTAATCTCTATAATATAGTTATATAGATATTCTATAAAATCCTAAGTATTATTCTTATTATTATTCTATTTTAAATATATCTTCTTAATATATTACTTTAGATTACTAAAATACTCCTTAATAAGGTTAAAGTTTAGTAAATATAGAAGTAGAAACTTAAGATTAATATTTAATATCTAGTATAAATCCTTAATTTTAAGTATATAATAGTAAGAGAGGTTATCTATAATAATAATAGAGTTTAGTTCTAGAAAATACTTATACTTTAGGATAAAGTACTCCTATAGCTAATAAAAGAACTTATTACTATTAGTTATACTATAGTATATAGTTAAATATAAGATATTACTTAATATAAAAGCTAATAAGATTTATATATAAGAGTTCTAAAACTAATTAATTTCTATAGTTTGAAATATAGTAAGTTTTTTTAGTACTTATTTAGTCCTCTATATTTTAGTATCCTTATTAATACTAGATTTATTAATAAATACTAGCTAGTTAGGGTAATATTATTATATATAGTATAAGTACTTATATTATAATTTATTACTTCACTAAGTAGTAATAATTATAAACTTCTTATTTATCTAGCTAAATATATTTAACTATTAACTAATTATAGAATAACTAATTTAGATCTTAAAGGTTTTAAATAGGAAATCTTATATCTCTTTAAGGGATAGGTTATTATAGTATTATAATAGTTTAAGAA